CCCATACAAAGAAATACTGTATGTATGATTTATTTCATTGGAAAAATTGAGATTACAGTTTGAAGGACAACACTAACAACCAATTAAGTCATGTACAACCATGTTCAACAAAAGAATAATATCAATATAGCCATAAAATGTCTTTGAGACTTGGATCTCTGACATAACAGAGGGGTAGAAGTTCCAATGTCAATCTCTCTGTATACGTCATTTCTCAACAATCCATTTCTTTGTGATATTCCAGCTATTACATACATATTTTTTTGAAGTAACAATCCATAGAATATTTTATTTTGGACATTTTACTACTAAGGTTCCAATGACCAAATGTTATCTGATGGCATGTTCTGTTCGGTTTTTGGTACGGTGAAGTAAGTTTGATATAAATCCATTGAAATGTCAAAATCCATATAAAAGCGATGAAACACAATGGTAGCATCTCTCCAAAAACATTTTGATGCAAATTACACAATATTACCAGAGAAATGGATAATTTCTTTTAGCAGATTCCATTCTATTAGAGATTAAGTAACATATCCATGGTGTATATTTAATTGGTGACAATCCATTTCTGTGCAATATTCCAGCTCTCAAGGTGGCACATGTTGGTGTAATTGATTGAAAAGTGTTCCAGTAAGAGTTCCAAAACTGTAAAAAAATATATTAGTATGTACTGTAAATTCATAAAAAATAGATTAACTCGAATGACTTTATGCCTTTGTGCAATGATGGGGACAAGAAACCCTACTTTCTGTCCCTATCATACACGAACCCAAAGTCATTAAAGTACACAAGGAAATAATTATCAAGGGAAAACTTACCATTCTATTATGCCAAATGATTTTCATACATACAGTGATAATAAAGAGTGAGTATATAATTTCGAGCCAGGATACACAGCCGAGATTCATATTTGTAATCCCGTCACTTATATACCAACATAATGGTTTGTTTATCTTAATGCACTGCTAGTACTCTGTGCCAACTGATCAAGCCTGGTTTCTTCTGCAAGCCTATATTGTAAATTAGCGGATGATTTCAAGCTTGTTAATCGTTCATACGTCATTGGTTCAATGACACAAGATGCAAGTGATTTTACTCTGCTAATAGAGATTTGCCAATATCTATCCATGCTTTTGGAAGTGTAAGTCCTTGGCTCTTGTGTATTGTAAGAGCCCAAGCAAGTCTGAGAGGCAATTGTTGCCTCTCATGGAAACCAAATTCAGTCTGGGACGAGACAGTGATTGGACATATAGGAATACACATTGGTTTTTCCTGATCAAAAACTGGACCTCTGTAGTTTTCAAACTTTACTATAACCGCAATAGGTAGGTCAGGTGGTTGATGATTGTTCTCGAAAATGATATCAACGATTGTTACGTTCCAGTAGCCCCATTGCAGAGCCCAACGCTTGGCCATGAATTCATGGTTAACATCACTCTAGCACCTTTTGCCAGAAACACAACTGGTTCCAACCCAGACATATCATCTGCAGATATCGTTTTTGCCAGTGCAGAGGAATGGCGAGCATTAATATGAGCAATAGGATGCTCAAGTTTAGCTAGCTGGTTATGGTTGTAATTACCAACTTGCTCATTGCTATAGAAGAGTCTAGTGGCATCTTCAAATTCAGTCAAGTTTGAGATATTGGATGTTTGACGTGTGAGAAGTAATTCCCAGTCATTCACAGTTGACTCACCTTTGCGAAGTCGTAACAACAGATCTCTGAATTTCACTTGCTCAGAGCTCATGCCTTGCACTCGTTGATTTACAGCGACTTTAATAACTTTATCAAACATATGATATGCTTGATAACCTTGTTCACCAACAGCATTCGATGGTTTAGAATGGTAAAGAGGTTTATCTGCTACTGGTGGCAATTGACCTGGATCACCAGTCAAAATCAAAGATTTTCCTCCAAATACTTTGCCATTACAACCAGTTGCTTGTTTGCCACGTTTGTCTATCCAGCCAAAAGTAACTTGGCCAAGCATGGAATATTCGTCAATAATGATGTATTCAACATTATTAAGGTTCTCCTGCAACCTACACAAAGTCTGTCCTGTCAGGTCCTTATTAACCTGAGTATCAGGCCCTCGGTATTGAAGAGAGCCTGACACAATTCGCCTCTACGGGCTTTCCACCCCCAGAATATCAGCCAATTAAAATTATTTCCGGTTGTAGCATATTTCCGGTTGTCCGCTACAGGTACGTAAATACGCAAATTCGTTATTTGCAGTTTTACTGTATATAAATTTGAATAAATACGGAGAAAAATCGGTATGTTTTTGTCGAAATATCCACATGATGGAATTATAAGCGTAAACTATGCCTCATTCGGGGAACCATAGCTCGATGGCTTTTTCCAGGAGTCTAAAGAGACAACATTCCGCGCTCTGAATAGGATTTCTTCTTCCTCGATCCACGTGTCATGTTAATAGTTTATTCGAGACAGCTATTCGCTTCAACTGCGTCTGACACAGCGGCTATTGTCTTCAATTTCTGCCTGATGTTGGCATATTAGTTCGAGCGAGCTGACTACTATATCCTTGCAGGTCTTGGAAAACAGCTCGGCAATAAACTGATAAATAAGGCTTCAGCTTTTTGGAACTAAATATTTGAAAATTTCCGACATCCACATATTTTCGTTCTACGGCGACTATTACGGCGAGATATTTTGACACGCTTTCTACTATGACTATGTAGTTTTAGTTTTATACCGAGTAAAATGTTGCTGCAAAAGCGTTTTCAACGTCTTTTCGTACTTATTTTGTCATTTTTAGGCTTAATTAATTGAAAATAAATTTCAGAAATAAAGCACTTTTAACAGTATATTGAAAAAATTACAAATTCTATTTTTGGTGTTTACATACGCCGGTCATATATTTCCGGTTTGAATCACATGATGCGTTTTATCGTCTCTTAGCCAATCAGCATAACATCCAGATTCTGGATGTTGAACATGGCTTTAGAGGCGAATTGTGTCAGGCCCTCTTTCAATACCGAGGGCCTGATACTCAGGTTAGGTCCTTATTACCTCTTGACCCTATAGGTTAATAAAGAGTGCACAGTTACACCTTTTATATTGTATGCTGCTTTACCTGTTGTAGCAGTAAAAGCACATTTACCTTGTAGAAGGTTTCGAATAGCATTAATAAGGTAACTTTTACCAGTACCTGCAACACCATTTATGATCAGACATAATGACTCTTTTTCAGACGATGCATCATCAAAATTAGACTTAACAATGTCATAAGCAAGTTTTTGCATTTCACTAAAGCTGTTGATGTCAATTAACAACATCATACTGCTCATCAATAGTACCGGTAGTCTTCCTTCTTAGTTTTTATCCATGTAGGCATTTCACGAATATGCTGTTCTGAATAATTAACTCGATCAAGATGCCAATCATGTGCCGAGTCTGGTATTCCTTCAGAATTTTCAAAAGGAGTGTGAAGGTCTGACAATACCATCCACTCTTCTTGAGTTACATCCTGCCCTTGAGAAGGTTCATCTTCACGTTCTTGACTTTGAATGACATATTGCAATTTGACAAACCAATCTGGGACATTAGATTGTCCATAAGATGTTTGCAAAAATTCATGCCAATAATTTATAAGGGCCTCGTCAGTTGGTTCCTGATCACCCCATGCATTGTTTTGGGTCGTTCTCCAGGGTTTAGACCTTAAAAGTTGATATTTGCAATAAAGACCAAAATTTGGACCTTTAGGAGCTCTTTACATTTCTTCGCGTTTATGCACCAGTCAATGTAAACCCCAGCCCCCCCCCCCCCCCCAACCCCGGGGCTATGCGGGGATTAGCATTGCAAACTTATCAAAGCATTGACCCTCCTCCTCCTTTCGAATCAAACTCTGAACTGCCCCAAATCTCAGTCGAGGCTGTCTTATCTGTATTGCGGAATTTACCACACAAAGCGCCCGGACCTGACGGCATCCCAAACTGGATTCTTAAAGAATATGCCATGATACTTTCCGATCCCATTTGCCACGTCATAAACTGTTCCTTTGCTAATCAAGGTCTTCCATCTTCCTGGAAATTAGCTGATGTTATCCAAGTACCAAAACAAAGCCCCGTCGAAGATGTCAATAACCACCTTAAACCCATCTCCCTGACACCAGCTATTTCTAAAGTTGCAGAGAAGTTTGTTGTGAAATTGTACGTTGCGCCAGCTGTTCTCGAGATTATCGACCCTAGCCAGTTTGGAGCCATACCGAAGTCCTCGACAGCACACGCCCTTATCTCTATGATCCATGCATCATTGGGCCCAAGCCACCGACAGTACAGGAGCCGCAGTTAGAGTGGTCTTATTTGACTACAAAAAAGCGTTCGACCTAATTGACCTCTAAATTCTGGTACAAAAGATCCTTAGCCTAAATATTCCCCGGAGCATCGCACGCTGGGTAGCTGATTTCTTAACGAACCGTAAACAACGTGTCAAACTTTCACATGACTGCTTTTCCGAATGGGGAGATGTACCCTCAGGAGTCCCGCAAGGCAAATTAGGACTGTGGCTGTTCCTGCTTATGATTAATGACCTAAAGATCCAAGATGTTAGTAGCTGGAAATTCGTTGACGACACAACCATATCAGAAGTTGTCCAGCTTGAAACAAATAGTCAAGTCCAAGATGCAGTTACATCAGTTGAAAAGTGGTCCACTGAAAATAAACTCCAGCTATAAATGCCAAGAAATGCAAAGAACTCACCATCGACTTCAAGCATTCCAAACACGTCTTCGAACCTTTGACAGTAAATGGTAACCTATACTCAGTGTTGTAAAACATGTAAAGATCGTGGGTTTGAATCCCTCAAATGACCTCCAGTGGAACGTCCATATTGATGAATTAATTAGAAAAGCTAATAAGCGTATGTACTTCCTAATTTTACTAAAACGTTCTGGAGTACCAACTGCGGACATCCGAAATTTTTTCTGTACATGTATTAGACCTCTGTTGGAATACTGCTTGCAGGTTTTCCACCATTCCCGCCCGAAATATTTGTGTGATGACTTGGAAAACGTCCAACAGAGAGCGCTGGCTATCATTTCCCCGAACCAGTCATATGAACATAACCTGCGGAAGTTTAACTTAGCTACTTTAAAAGATAGACGTATAAAGTTATGCGACAAGTTATTCTCGTCCATCAAGAGTTCGGAATCTCATAAGTTACGCAATCTTCTACCTCTTTTGCAAGAGGAAAGCTATGACATTCGAAAGAAGCGAGCAGCCTCGTACCCAGGCTCTTTCCTCTACGCTCCTAGCTGGAGAAAATACCCTGGCCGGGGCTGGTCACGTGACCCATAGAAAATTGATAGCCTATTAGGGGAATGGGAAAGTCTCATATTACAAAGTTTCCACTTCCGCACTTCACACTTCGATGCGAGGAGTGGCCGCCTGAACAATTATCTTTCAGGATCATATAAAAATACTTGCTAAAAATTGGTTTTGTTTGCTTTTAAATTATACAAACCGGCTAAACTGTATATTCTTATAGAACGGACAAGTCAGGAAATCAAGCAACGAAAACGTATGATCGTATGCTTTGAAATATTTGCCCTTTTATTCTCTTGGGGTTCGGGCGCAGTTTCATTTCACGCGTACATTTCTGTTCTGCCTCGGGTTCAGATATTTACTGTAAAATATTCTTATAATATACCATTGAATTGTTGTTATACGGAACAGTATAAATTTGTTAAATAGAAGTCTCACTAGCGACTGTGTAAGCGCTTCGCCTTGGTGGTCTTACAGCAAACGTTATACACATTTGGACACTAGCCAAATAGACATCGAATGTCTATTCAATACTACAATTACAATAGATTATAAAAGCTTTTGTAAACATAGTCATAGTGCTCTAGATTTTCTTTAAAAAATAGGTTATCATCGTTCATATAAAACACCAGCCACCAGGTAGGAAGGAGTGTTACTCTTAACGTACAAAATTGTTTGGGATCAACAGTACAGAATTATAAGAAATTCACAACTGTATGCTTTTCCTTTTTTGTCTGCACGAATAACTGTATGTTGAAGCCAAAATATTGCACAGCATCTCCTATATAATTATATAGCCATTTACCCTCGCCCCTTGAATGCAAAGGAATGATAGCTGATAAGTTTTAGCAAACTATTTTTTATTATACCTGGTATAAAGTGTCCCTACGTACGTTTAATCAGGGATACCTCTAGAAGGTCCATCACAGTATACGATAAAGTTTACTGCATGAATAAAGGTTGATATAAATATTGTCTTGATGACCCACAGCGGTCATGATACAACTACAAGTCGCAAGAAGCTGGATTTTAAGCGGGATTATACTTCAAATAAAGCCCAATGGGTCAATGGCAATGCCAATGAAAGGTCTTTAAACGATTTTTAATGTACCTGCTGTAAATTACTCTAATACATGAAATATGAAATAATTTACTAGTATAAAGTACAATACCAGTGTCTGGTCGCATGTTTCGTCCTAAAATATCCAAGTTGTACCCCACGCACGGACGAGTATTATTATTTGGCGTTCATGTGATAACAGATAGCTTTAGTATTATACTTCGATATAATCATTCTTCATCGTTGAGTTTGAACAATGTAAATGCCAGGGAATGTTACGTCGATAACGGGTTTTAATCCAGTGCTTTCACAGTCGGAATTAGCATTGTTTTTTACACACAGTTAGGGTAGCATTTTTTACACACAGTTGGCGATGTTTGGGAAATCAAAGGATTGTTTTGAATATCGAACAGGATACATTTCAAATATAAACAACCGTATCCTTCGTTTGATCGACCAGTCGGTGTAGAAGACATTTATGTTTCTACGGCGATGCGTGCTCAACTTCGCAAGCCAGGCGCGTGTATAGTCCTTTCCTTGCAAGTGAAATATGATCCAACTTCTCGCTTGAAATGTACCGCAACACTTATTATTGATGACACTCAGTACAGCAGGAAGTCGTGTCATGATGAATACGAATTTAGAACAGTTCCTTTCACGATTTCTTGTTGTAAAGTGCATGTTTATCACCAGAAACTATAAAGCATAAAGTTGCA